TAGGTAAAATGTTTATTATTATTATGAAAATAATCTTTAAAAAGCAAATTTGAAGTTAATACTTTTCTATAAACAAAATATGTAATAAACATTTAAAGGTTGGAAATTAGAACTTAACTATTGCATTTATTATTATTATGTAAAAAAAATTGTATTTGAGTTCCATATTGAAATAAACCAAGAATTACGTTTACAGTGTTCTTCTGCATCTTCATCAATAGTTATTTAAGTCATTTCCGTTGGCTTTCTCTTGAAGGATTGTCCTCTGCTTTTAATTTTTCAAGAAAATTAGAAGTAACAATTTGATAACACAGATTGAATAATTATCAAATATTTTTACATGCTCATTTGCTTGCTTTATTTCCTGATGCTCATCTATCATCACTATTAGTATCATCACATGGTTTCAATTTGATATTTTTGAACAAGTAAACAAGGTAAGTCACTAGCGAGCATTTTATTCACTAAAATTAAAAAATAAAATAAATAAGTTAGTAAATTGAGTAAAAAACCAAATCATTTGAACTTCTGTTACAGAATTTCTTGAATTTTAAACAAAGTATACTTTGAGGAAAACAATAGATTTTTATAGATTTTTAACAGATTATGGAAGAGAAAATATTGTAGTATTTATTTAAATAATTATAATAGTAATTTTTTTAAAAAAAATTTTTTTTCAACAAGCACAAAGTATCACGTTAACTCATTTGTAACATATGAAAAATATATGAATTGATCTACAAAGAGGCGCAAATTTCTATACCTAAATTTGGAAAGAACCCGGACTGTAGTACTTAAGAAATCAGTTCATTCCTGTGAAACTCTAATTTACTTTTTGGGATGTTCTTTGGTTAGGCCAGTTTTATTGTTTTTTCTATTATTTATTTTAAACAGTAATAGCGATCATTGTAGAAATTTTACAAAAATTGTTACAGAGTTATTAAAAAGTCAAACTATTCGTTATACAATTCGATTCAATTTTTTTATATATATGGTGCCGATCATCTAAAGACATCAAAATTTCAGCTAAACTTTAAAATGTATAAGCTCAATAATTAAGCAGGATTAAAAAAAAAACTCTCTATAGTTCGATTTTATAAGATCTAAGGAAAAATCTAATAGAAAGTTTTTTTAAAATTTATCAAAATGAAAAAAGTTATGGCAGTTTAAAGTTTGTCATTTTTACTATTAAAAAAAAAAATTCACCGCCGATCATTACGCGATTTACAGAATATTTTCGCGTTATAAAGAATATTCACGTGATTCACGTGATTCGTGAAATTCCATTAAAACAGATTCGGGAACTCTTCTATGAGAATGATATTTTTTAACCGCAAAA